CATCTGGCCCACCTGTTCTCCCATGAGCTGAAGGCAGCGTAGGTGGCTCTCTGCCCCCTGCATTGTGTCCTCACAACAAGGCTGTGACCCTGGTCAGGGTGGGAGAGGACCGCTGGTCCGCAGCCACTCATTCTACCACGTGCCTGGTGTCGCTCACCTTACATCTCGAGGGCAATGGCCAATTTGAACCAGGCAGCCGGTTAGAAAAAGAGCTGAAGGGGCTGGATGCTCCTTGGAGGACAAAGGTGAGAAGAGCATAGAAGGCTGGAGAGCAGCCAGATCAATGAGCACAGGGCTAAATTCAGGCAGGTGCCAACTTACCAGATGCCTGTTAAGCCACATCGAACCTGAAGGGGCTGGCCAGAAGGGTGCTTTGCAAGGAATTCAAGGAAGGCTCCCTGCACACGCAGCAATGTGTTGGATCTTTTTACCTCCTGGTCTGGTGGTCTCACCATTGGGTACTGTCAGAATCCCGGAATCTCAATTTGAGAAGAGGGAATAAAACTCGGGTTCATGGGAAAGATCAACCATCCAGACCATCTGAGGCTTTATTGTATCACCCAGGTTCCCATAGGTCCACTCACGATAATGCATTACCGGGCGGGCAGAGGTAAACTCTGCTGCAAAGCTTCAATACCATTGCAGGGTATTTTATAGGTACACAGGTACAGGGCAAGTGATGACAGAATGCAGAGATTACAATAAGATTCTGAGGTCATCACATACAGAACAGATAAAGGAATGTCAGTCAATCATACAGTAACAATGAGATTACAATATTTCTAATTGCCATGTATTGACACTTTAGTTCAGTAGCTTGAACCCATCTCTAGGTCTGTTTAGACATGTAAATTCAAGCTACTGAGAAACTATGCGTGATAAGCTCAGACTCTTATCTAGATTCTAAACATTCTGAGTGACCAGGGCATACGAAGCCCTGGGCTAGGAAGATACTTCCTTGTAAAACTGAATTCCAACAATGATTATTTAATCATTGTGAAGGTATGCAATGTAAATTTGGACTAAATGGCCTGTGTACTGTAGCTTACAGCTAAAGGTGAGAGAAAGGAGCGGGGAATGCCATTTTAAACAGTGACAGCTTGGTTTTGAGAAGGAGTACAGGATTTGATCCCACAATGCAAAAAGCACACAGAAGTAATGCTTTTCAGACAGGATTTATCCAAATGTTCCCAACAGTACCATCTCGAGATTGCTTGGGAACTGCTCCATAGGTTTTTCTTGGCGAGTTTTTTCAAGGTCTCAGCAGACCTTTCCTCAGCCCTCCCCATTTCTCTGGGCTTGAGACTGGCACACACACGTGATGAAGTCTGCATGGCTGGGTTATAGTGCAAATAGGCAAGAAAGTGTTTTGAATGCTGCCTTTAAGTGACAGTGATCCTTTGGTGTTAGAAACACTCTTTCCTTTCCTTCAGAAAAGAAAAATATTGCAAGCATGTGAAGAGTTATTGTTGAAACTTTACTGCAACAGAGGGAATTGGAATGGTTTTCTTTCCATGTCCTTACGCAACTCAGCACATGTTCACATCCCATTTGATGCCCTCCCCCCGGGCACTTCTCCCTCCTCTTTTCCCCCCATTGGCCAGGACACTGGGAGGTTGCAAATATTTTCCATCCACCTATCCTGTGCCACTGATACCCGTTCTTCCCTCCCACTTGGTCCCACCCAGGTGAATTATAATGAGCTTATTTCCTATGCAGGATGTCTTTGTTAATAGTCATGAGGCCATTCATTGAGCAAGTTTCCTGCAATCTTGTCTATCTGCCAATTTCCTCACACTCTGCGATCTGATTTCAGCCCCGCTCCTTCTTTAGGCTAACAAATTTTCTTTGTTACCTTTTCCTTTTTACTCTTCCTACTTCCTGTTTCAAATCATCCTTTCATCCCTACCATTTGTGTTGGCATCTTTTGTTATATTTGTAAGCTGCTTTGACAGCCCCACATAAGGAAAGCAACTGAATAAAATCTCTTTACGGTTGTCAGACTATTTTCACCAAAAAAAAAAAAAAAAGTTAAATCAATTGTATTATATTCACAGAAATAATTTCTGATAACAATTATACAGAAGGGATAGGTATGAAGCATGCTACTGAAACAAGCCTGTGAAACATGCCAGTTGGCATGAATATGCATGCACATGAATGCAACATGAATACAAAAAATGGCATATTTGCCGAAGGCACATCAGAAGCCACCATGACAGCAGAGTTCTAGAATGGTGCATGACCTGGTTGGAAATATATGCCCAAAGGACCTGGGGGATCTTTTGCAAGAGGATCACTTCAAGGCTGAGCCTAGACATGTTCACTCAGAAGAAAGTCTATGTTACCAATGCAGGTTGCTTCCTAGTGCAGTGCTCCCTGACCTAATTCCTTCTGGATGTGGACTGCAGCTCCCATCATCCCCAGCCAGTCCAACCTGCAGGGCACCAGGTTACAGGTCAATCTCCAAGTGTATTTTGGATTCCATAATTGTTTCTTTTCCTAGAATCCTGTCATACAAGCAGGGAGTGTGAAGCATACTCAGAAAGCTTAATTTCCCCTGTAAGACCCATTGTGTAGTTTGGGCATGCACACACCATGACACAGACCATTTGGTAAATACCACAAGGGAGTGTACCGCATACTCAGGAAGCTTAATTTCCCGTCTCTTACCCAGGCATAAGTGTTCATGGGAGGAGTGGGAATAATCCACATTTGTGATTTTGAGTGCATCATGAAATGGAGGGTGGTTATTATGCCAAATGAGTTCAGGATCGTGCAAATGTGGCATGCTTTCCTTTTATAGCTACTCTTATTTTTTATTTATATTGCGATTTATATCCTGCCTTTTTCCTACAAAGGGCTCAAGGCAGCTTACATCATCTCTCCTCCTCCATCTTATCCCCACAACAACCCTGTGAGGTAGGTTGGGCTGAGAGTCTGTGACTGGCCCAAAGTCATCCAGTTGGCTCTATGGCTGAGCGGGGACTAGAACCCGGATCCTCTGAGTCCCAGTCCCATGCTCTTAACTACTACACCACACTGGCTCTCACTGGCAAAGACTCTTGCAGTCTTTCCCCTATGTTGTTTTTCTCTTGATCCTATAATAGGAAAAGTGACTCCTGCTTCCAAATAGTGGAAAGCAATAAAGAAAATACAAGTGAATTCTATCCATGTTCATGCAATCCTTTTGTTGTTGTTGTTAGTCGCGAAGTCGTGTCCGACCCATCGTGACCCCATGGACAACATTCCTCCAGGCCTTCCTGTCTTCCACCAGCCCCCGGACTCCACTTAAGCTCACACCAACTGCCTCAGTGACTCCATCCAGCCACCTCATTCTTTGCCGTCCCCTTCTTCTTTTGCCATCTATTGTTCCCAGCATTAGGCTCTTCTCCAGGGAGTCCTTCCTTCTCATTAGGTGGCCAAAGTATTTGAGTTTCATCTTCAGTATCTGGCCTTCTAAAGAGCAGTCAGGGTTGATCATCTCTAGGACTGACCGCTTTGATCACCTTGCAGTCCAAGGGACTCACAGGAGTCTCCCCCAGCACCACAATTCAAAGGCCTCAATCCTTTGGCGCTCAACCTTCCTTATGCTCCAGCTTTCACCGCCATACATTGCAACTGGGAAAACCATAGCCTTGACTATATGCACTTTTGTCGGCAGGGTGATGTCTCTGCTTTTTAGCATGCGGTCTAGATTTGCCATAGCTTTCTTCCCAGGAGCAAGCGTCTTAATTTCTTGACTGCAGTCACCATCTGCGGTGATCTTGGAGCCCAGGAAAATAAAATCTGTCACTACCTCCATTTCTTCCCCATCTATTTGTCAGGAAGTGATAGGACCAGATGCCATGATCTTAGTTTTCTTAATGTTGAGTTTCAAGCTAACTTTTGCACTCTCCTCCTTCACCCGCATCAAGAGGCTGTTTAGTTCTTCCTCACTTTCTGCCATTAGAGTGGTATCATCAGCATATCTGAGGTTGTTGATATTTCTCCCAGCAATCTTAATTCCAACTGGTGATTCATCTAGCCCCACCTTTCTCATGATGTGCTCTGCATA